AAAAAAAAAAAATCAACTTAAAATCATCACTACCTTCCTACATCTTAAAATAAGCAAAAATCACAACCATTCATGAAGCGTTAGCTGTGTGAGTGAGAATCATGAGTCGGGCATGAGGCATTCCAGAACATTCTCAGTCGATAAGCAGACTCGAGACTTCATGATGAACTGGTTCTTGCCGGCAGCGAAGGCGGTGGTGGTTCTGGAGACCGCTCAGTACATGGCCAAGAAGCTGGCAGTGGGGCCCACGGATGAGCGAGCGGTTTCGGCCTTACGGGGGAGATGATGAAGAGGAGACCTTTGGTGAGGAAGTACGGTGCGTATTATGGGACTGAGGTTTTTGATGGTGGGGAGAGTGAGGATGAGGTGGAGGATGGGGAGAGGGGTCTAGTGTTAGTCAAGAAGGCGGCTGGGAAGTCATTGGGAAGTCCAGTAGCTGTCAGCCGACACCTACAGCCGACGAGGAGAGGAGGTTGAGGAGGAATCCGGTCATTGGGCCCCTTGACTAGGTAATTTGGTTTTTTTTTTACATTTTTTTCCTCCATTTTCTGATGTTTTTATAAGTTGGGATTTTTTTTTTTATTTTTTTTTAAAGTTGGATGAGTTACTTGCAGGGTGTTATTTGAAAACTTACATATATCGTCTTAAGGTTTGTGAGGGAAACAAACTTGAACCAGGGCACTTTAAAATTTATGAAAACAAGCATGTACATACACTTGTGATGAGACTAATTCTCATGAGCAGTTTATTATAATTAATCTCTCAAGTGTGTTTCTCTAGCCGAGCCAAGAGCCAAGCCATTCATGCCCACAAATAAGGCGAAAAAAGCTGAGGTGGAGCCGGCGAGTCACAATGGGCATAGTGATATCAGAGGAGACCAAAAGGGCGAAGCTCGAGGAATTCCGACGGGTGTTGCTGTCCTGCGCGGCGGTGCACCGGAGGAAGGACGATGAAGGGTTTAGGGCCCGCGAGGACGTGCTGCCAGTTCAAAACGACGACGTATTGGACAGAATGGTCTGCGTCACGAGTGCGTATCCTACCTCAGAATAGTCAACGGCTACTCTGTGCGGATTATTGTTGACAACGAAGAGGATGGAAAATTGAGGGAAATGGAGATTTCAGGTGACATGAGAATCAACAGCAGCATGCTCGAGGTGGCTATGGCCACACTCACGAAAGTCGAGAGCCTGATTGAGGCGTTTGAGGGTTGTCGTGGAGTCTTTCACACGGCTGCATTTGTGGACCCAATTGGACTATCTGGTTACTCGAACGCTATGGCTGATGTAGAAGTGAACGCGACCAAGAATGTTGTGAAGGCTTGTGGAGTTTCATCTTCTGTTAGGCTATGTGTGCCAACCTCATCCCTCTTGACATGCATTTGGCGGGACAATTCGAAAAGCGAAGAAGTTTCCCTCCAAATCGACCACAAAACCTGGAGTGATGAATCCGTTTGCATAAACAAAAAAGAAAAGTCTGCATGGGATATCGTGCAAGAATGCGGTCTGAAGCTAGCTGCCATTTGCCCCGGGCTTGTCACTGGCTCGAAGTTTTACCAAAGAAACCCAACATCCACAATGGCTTAACTTAAAGAAGTTCACGAGATGTACACATATCGTTTGCTTGCTACAGTTGGTATAAGCAAATTGGCAAAGGCGCATATAGCCATTTTTTAGGAGATGAAGAAGACAACTTGTGATTGCAGAAGGTACATTTGCTTTGATAAGGTGATTGAACAAAATGACGAGCTCGAGAAGTTGGCTAGTGAGACGGGGATTAGCTCGAGCTCGTTAATGGGGGTGACTCATGTGGTGATAGGCCCCGGTTTGAGCTGTCGAATGTAAAACTTTGTCGACTAATGATGAGAACACGAAGGTGTTATAGCGAGTGATTATGGTTATTTTGGGTTCTTGTTATGTATTTTTATCATCTCGAGATCTAAAAAAAAATCTCTCAAGTGTGTTTATCTCTCAAGGTAATTGGTTTTCTTGATTTTTGCTTGCTTAAATAGAAGCAGTTGTGGTTTTTTTTTTTTTTTTTTATCTAACATGATTTTTAAGATGTAGGAACTGGGAAGGTAGTGATGGTTTTAAAAGATGATTTTTTTATGTAAGATGATTTTTAAATATTACAAGGACGTCGGAAGGATAGTGCTGGAGATGGTTTTTTTGTTTTTTGTTTTTTTTTTTGTGTTTTTAATCTAAGATTATTTCTAACTCCAGGATGTATTTTTAATTACACCTAATCTAAGGGTTATAGTGTTGGGTACGTACTAGTTTTATATAATAAGGATTAACATAAATCAAATTTAGAAACAATTTTCTGCCACTTTCATTAATTATCTCCTAAAAATAGTAAATCAACTTTTTCAGTTTTTTTCTTAGGAATAACATGAAATACTTTTATATTGGTAACCAATAAGGAATCAAAATCCGAATAAATCTCCTATTTTTCCAAACAATTTGGAAATCCGAATGTAAATCCGAATATCATGATTCTAGAAATCGTGATTTCCAAACAAGTTGGAAATCCGAATAAATCTCCAAGGAAAATCATAATTTGTATATATCATGATTTTAGAAATCTGTTCAAAATTTTCTTTGCATGAATCAGAATCATAATTCATCTAGCCTATTATTATATTACTAAATTGTTTGAAACCGCATTCTAAGATTTGTATATATCAGATTTCTAAAATCATGATTTGTAGATATAAACTTTTCACCAATTAGACTTTTTTCTTCTTTAACGATTTGAAAGGAAAACGAATTTTATATACCTCATCAGTTTTGATAATACAATGTTATAATCATTATTATTATTTATTTAAAAGATAGTGTTTGTCATTTATTTGATTTCAAAAGATGAAAAATTTTTCATAGTTTAGGTATATTTATGCATTTACACAAATTAATTTAAAACTCTAATAACGATTGACAACAAAATTTGTTATATATTGATTCAAACCAATTAAAAAATAACACACGATCACTACATTTCAAAGATTAAATTTTTTAGATAAACATTCATTCATATTGTCATGACGATAAACAAGAGTGAGTGTCAATCTTAGAAATTTGAAGATTCCAACGGCTATATTTCCATGTTTTTTTTATCGTAGCAATTTCCGTTGGAATATGCAAATTCCGTTGAAATTTTTATTTCCACCCCATTGAAAAATCCACCGTTTGAATCGTCAAAATCCAACGAAAATTCTAATGAAAAATTCATTCTAACTAAATATTTTTGTTGGAATTTCCGTTGGAATCCATTAAAAATTTCCAACGGAAATAATAGTATTGAAATATCCGTTGGAGTTGGAATTGTCATTGGAATAATTTCTTTTGGAATAGATTTTCCATTGGAATTTTATCATTTCATTTAGTGTGCCCAATAATCAAACCAATAATGTTGTTTACAATTAGGTTTTTAATAACATATGATTTTTTCATACCCGATAATTTTATGAGCATTTTCCGCGCAAAACATTAATTATCTACTATAGATGGAAATAATATAATATGACATAAATAAAAAAATAAATCATTAATTGCATAATTTTCATATAACTTGATTTTCGGTTTGTGTTTGTTTTAGTAAATTCTTGATTTTCTTTAATTACGTTGATAGTGGTTTTGTAGGCAAAGATTATGTAAATAATTATATGTAGCCAATTTTAGAACTCTTATTTATCAAGGATTCTTTTCTATTTTAACAGATTTATTAGAATCATTGTTTTAGATTAGCATATATGTTACACACACAAAAAAAAACAATTTTATAGTAATATTTAAATTTGCATGGCGTAAATTTTGGAATTTTCGTTTGTGAGGATTCTTTTTTACTTTATCATATTTATTAGAACCAACAATTACAAAATATAAATTTATATTAAAATCTAAATATATTTATATTAATATTTAAATATATTTTTCATTATAGCAAATTTTGAAAATGAACTATTTTATATGAGATATAAAAATCTTTTTTTTTAGATATACACCAATTCCCTTTATTGGTATTCTTTCTGTCAATTGTTTTTAAAAGAAAAATTTTCAAAATTTTGTATAGTAAATCCATTTTTTGTTTTTGTATACACAAAATATAAATTTATTACAATATATATATATTATTACCTAAAAAGTTGCTACACATATAATAGGAAAGTTGTCCAATTAAAAATTTTGCAGTTTGAAAATATATAACAAATTCTCACACATTCAATTAAAAATTGTTTGGCTTGAAAAAATTAGCGTGAAGTAATGTATAATCACTAATATTTTATATTTTATATCTACTATTATATAAATTTTTATACAAAACATATTAGGACATAAAAATTAAATAATTGGAACTTATCAATAGTGAGTATACAAAAAAATGTGCCAGTTATTTGTTATATAAATAGGCGACACATAATAGTAATTTTTTGTACTGGTTCCCTAAAAAATGTCTTATGGTTGGAGGCAGGTTTATCATTTTTTTTTTTTTACACATGTTCATCACAACATAAATTTCAAATTGGATCATATCATTTTAAAATCTATATCGATATCTATATAAAAAAGTATGTATTTACTGTAAAAAGCAATATTTTTCAGCCAAAAATAATTATTGGTTACTTAACAAGGAAAGTTTTTTAAATATTCTTTCCATTTCCTTTTGGTAAAAAAATCTTTATTATCCATGGTGAGACTTGTATTATTATTGTAGATAATTAATGTCAATAATTAATTGAAATCTAATATTGAACTTTCATAAATTTAAATCAATTATTTTATTTCTACCTAATATATTTTATTTTTATTTGTAGTATGCGAATCAATAATTTGAGAATAGTGAGATTTCTATGGGAAAGCAAGATTAATGAGAGCATATATTAGATAGCAAGATTAGGTACAAGTGAAGCCTTTTTAAAAGCAAGTATGATGGCTGCAGAAACCAACTTACAGCCTTTCTCCAAAGTACTTCCACGATGTTCTTCTCAACCTCCTCCGGACATCAGAAAGAACACACTCTTGAGCGTAGTTCCACCATGCCCTTTGCCATCCCTTGAGCTTTTTCTCTAAAGGGCTCCACCAAGGACGATATCGGCCATATCTTACCATGGAAAAACAGAAAACCAGATCAGCACAGTTCCATACAACAGGTCAGTACACCTACAACTCATAACATCTAAATATAATAGTGAAAAGGGGAACGGATAAAATTGAGAACAAATAATGGGCATAATTCTCATAGAATCAAGAGCATAACAACAGGCAGCCTATTAGCGGAGCGAAAATGAGGAAAGAAAATATCTCTTTGGAATTGTAAAGAGCAGATGAAAGGGGTGGAATAATAAGAACAAACGATTATAAGGTACAAGGTTCAATAGGCCCTAATTGATGCCACTTGATATACATGCTCGTGATTAGCAACATGTGTGCATGTGTGTCTATATATATGTACATATGCAAAAACGGTTATCATACATGCTAGTTTATACAAGGTGTGTTGTTCATGGAAAAGGAAAGGTGTTACGAGAACGAAGCTGCAAAAGGTACTCCAAGAACCTTTATGGGGCAGCAAAGGGGACATGTTGTCGCAAAATGGTAAGGACATTGAGAGGAGGTAATCATTTGAAGCTTCATGAGTCGGTGAGTTAGGATAGTGCCAGATAGCAAAGACGAGAGGCAGTTAAATGGAGCACGATTGTGGAATAGAAATGATAATGCGAGCAAAAAACATGATAGCCTTGTCTGGAAGTTAGGTATTCAACAAAAAGTAGGGGCTGGACTCAATTTAATCAACCAATCCCATAGGGATGTTTTATAAATAAAGCTCCATTTTAAGAAAACCTAATTGAAAATTGGATTTTAGAGACTTTTCAAGAGAAAAAAATTGAAAACCTTAAGATTGAAGGACAGCTTTGTCCTAATGTAGAAGATTATATCACGCATGTGAATTATTCACATACAAAAGCTGTTTACAGCTAATTTATTGATTAACTATTAGTAAACTTCATCTATTTTCAAAATAAAATGTAATAAATTGCAAACTAGAAACCTGAGGAATTCGTCAATATAATACTTTAAGATAATGACTAATCATTTAATTTTTCTTAAAATGTTATTTTAATTGCTCAATCAACTCACCACATAAATCTATGTCAGTAACAAAATACTATTAAACAAGAAATTGTCCCAATGTTCTTGTTTGTCATTATGCTAGCAAACAACTTCAGGCATCAGTTATATATGGAACACTTTCATACAACAACTAATACAATCACACAGTTAGATGGCTAGATTGCTAGCTCATAGAAATAGAATCAACTATCAGCTAACTGCCCAACAAAGTCAATATTTATACAATAATACATTAACTAAACTATACCTTCACTTTTTACTGGTTAGGAAGTAAAATATTAATGCTGGTTATATCTTTTTCCATCGAGTTCCATGGAATCTCTGCAATCCATGTCTTGCCACACACGACGGTGGATTCAGCTTGGAACATGAGATTCTCATTTTATTTAATGCAGAGCACTATTTCTATAAACAATACACAAAGGATGCAATTAGCTAATGAAATGCGAAGCCTTGGATGACTAGGAAATATTTTTTTGATTGACCTTATGGAGACAATCCAATTGCTAATCCCTACAACATGAATTTGGCAGTGCGTGTCTATGAACTGGCTGCTCAATGGTGGTGACCCAAAGATGGTGACCGTCCTTCTACTGTTGCAAGCTTAAGGAAAGAGGATGCAACTAGCTTATTGAATGCGATCCCTGGATGACTAGAAAATAATTTTTTGATTGGCATTATGGAGACAATCAAATAGCTAATCCCTACAAGATGCAGCGTGTGGCATGTGTCTTGGGCTAAACAGCTAAACATCTTGTTATGAACTGGCTGCTCAAAGATGGTGACAGTCCTTAATTCTAATGCTGCAAGCTGAAGGAACGTATGTTATTGTATTTTGATAACCAGATAACTAAAAAAAAAAAGGAAAAGAAAGAAAAAAAAAAATACAATATGATCAAATGTATTGAGGTGTTAATTGCAAAATACATTAATTAATTTTACCTTTTAAATTTATTGCATTTATTGTTATACAAATAATTAACTTCTTTTAATTCTATAATTCTAAATCTTAATATATTGTCTTTTGTTATAAATATATGAATAATTATATATCATTTTTATATTTATGTGAGAAATAATATACGAATATTTATGTAAAATTTATGAGAACATTTTAATTAATATTTATATTATTTATATATTTAATTTTTAATACAACCTTAATACACGTGCCACATAGCAGTTGTTGTCACTATAGGTCAATTTAATTATTTTTTACCAACCGCTTCTCTTAAACTAGTTAACGCAATCCGCTACTCCAACCAGCTAACTCATCTAATACAATCAGTGGATGCTAATAGGGTGAAAATATTTGTATATGAATTTGTAAACGAACCACCTAAACAATAGGATAGAATATGAAATCAAGATGCCACTCGCAATTTTCATGTTGATTCTACAACTTAGAGGTGGAATAAAAATTTCGAACCCTTCACCAAAGCTCAGCAGCAATCTAACTTATGTTTCCAAGTTTTAAATTTTAATCTCACAAAAAAAAAAAAAAAGAAAAAAAGTAAAACATTACATCATAAGCCTCCAACGTTTCAAACAAAACATGTGTGTTTAACGAGCAGCTGTGGTCAAGTTTTATAAAAAGCACAACACTATAAGAAAGTTAAATGCTAAAAAGAGAATATCATTACAAGAAACTTACTTCTCCCTTAATCGAGACAAAGAAACATAATCGAAAAGAGCCAAAATTTGTTGCAACTGAACCTCGTTCATTGAGGCACCCTAAAAATCAGAGACGGAAGACATTTACCAAAAAGATTTTTTGCCATACTGATAACAATAAATTACACCACGAAAAAAGGCGAAAGCAATATACCAGGCAACCTAACTCCGCATTGATGGTATACTATGGAGTGTCATCTAATAGCTTTCCTGATCTTTTTACCTACATTAAATAGCAGAAAGCTCAAGTGAATTGATATAATAAGTAGTAAATCATCATAACAAATAATGATGGAATGTTGCTTTGAGATCTCTAAACACATTCTTATTTATATGTCCAATTACAATAATACAATTTAGTGATTCATCCACCAATGCAAATTATGAGTACTTAAGGTCATACAACATGATGCACCTAGAGCCGTCAAAGCCCACCCCACCAAAGGGCGATTTGCGCTCAGATATTTATCTTCCTTGATTGCCTTTTTCCAATAAGTGCTGGTCTAGAGTATTGAGAGATGGGTACACCGTACAACAAATGTCAATGCTGAACTTTTCATGTGTAATACCATCGTTAATGCATAAACTTTGCTTGTCGCTTTCGTCGAAAAGAATGTACAAATATAAAACAATAGAGGAGATTTAAACGAAAGCATTTAAGAGAGTGATAATGCATAAACTTTGTTGTTCACTTTCATAGGAAAGAATGTAAATATATAATATAATAGAGGAGAATTTAAAAGAGGTTTAGGGAAGATTTAAGTTTAGGGCTGTTTGGTGGGTCTCACACCAAAAGGACTTAATAGATATCTGTGGAAAAAATATAGTTAATTTGATCTATATTTGGTAGTCGTCCCTTTTCTCCTGTATGGGAATTCCATTCCTGTTCTTTTTTTGACCAACTAAATATATTTATGTTTTTTTCTCAAAACTGGAAAAGAAAAAAAAAAAGAAACCACTGTACATAACATTCTTTTGTAGAATGGAATAGTAGCAAAACATGCTTACCGACAGAGACACTGATACATTCAATGGCGCTAACATAGAGAAATACTTGGTATCTTCGAGATTCTCTTTTTCTGTACTCTTGAAAGCGTCAGCATTCTCTGTATTCGATTTATTGTTTGCATTAAGGATATCGCAATACAGCTCTAAACTCTGAACTTCAATTAATTTGTTGACTTGACCCCTTCTAGCATTTGCAGTTGAAAGCCTGAAAGATCACACAAATATCCACATGAAAAACTTGAAACCGAACTAAAAATGTAACCTAATATCAATTCCACCTTTCAGGTATGAAAGAAGTGTGCTCTAAAGTTGGGAACAAACATTTAATACTGCTGATCGAAATTGGGCCGGCTTGTAGAGCAATACATTGGCTTCTATTCAGTTAGATGCTAACTTCTTTACATTACACTATGAGCACAAAGTAAACAACATAAACTTGAAGACACTGCCCACAAATGATTGCTATCAATTAACTGATATGTTTAGGGTGTGTTTGTTAAAGGAATAATTTGAGTGAATTAACTCAAAGTGAGTTTTCTTTAGTTAACTAGGGTCAATTTAGAAAAAGTTGTGTAGTTAGTTGTTAGTGTACTTTTGAGTTTATATTAAATAATAATTAAAATTGGTTTGATGTAAAAGTAGGAAAGAGATGATAAGAAGTGGTTAGTTCAAATTATGTGAGTGGATGATGGTGAATTAAAGTTAATATGATGCGTAAAAATGATTGGTTGTTATTATTTAATCATTGACTGTTATTATTTAATTATATTGAGAATATTGAGGATAGTGGGGTTGACGTAAAGTGGAGTTAGATTTTGAGTAGAATTAATTTGGTGTGAGTTTTTCCTTTAACAAACACACCCTTAATCACTCACTAGACAGAAAATTTGGTGCATAACTGATAACATCAGCTCACGATTTTTAAAACGCATTATCATTTAAGATGACACTAAGAATCGATAAATACAACAGAAAATATATGTTAAATTGTTATAGATTCTTACAGCTGAAGGAAACAAAAGGCTTGTAGAAGGAAAACTATTCAGAACTTGGCTTAATGGTTTTTCATTTGTTGCTTTTGGTCTGTATGTCAAAAGTTCTCTGAACTTTAAAGTTTTGATACAATCTGGGAGTCCGAATAGTTCTATAATTCAACAACACTTCGTTCTCGACTTGAGGGCCTTGTCATCCAAAAACTTATATTTAATCTGATCTACAATGAAAATATCAACATCAAGATGACAAGAATACGTATCCCACCTTTGGCTTCTGAAAGAGTAAAAAAACAAGAAACAAGTTTTCCCATCTCTAGGACCTTGTCCCCAAATATTATACTCCCTCCTATTCATAATAAGAGTCGTTTTTAGATTTTGAGAAGTTGCACAGTTATTAAGAATATTTTTTTTGCCAATAATAACCCTCATTAATGAGGATAGAGATAAATGTTTCGAGAAAAGATGAAGAGTGAATATGAAAAGATGTAATGTATTTATTAGCTAGATGAGGGTAATAATGGAAAAATATGTACAAAATATCCAACGACATTTATTTTGTTAATAGTTGATAATGCCAAAATGACATTTAAAAAGAATAGAAGGTAGTATTTATCAGATATACAATGATACATTTTCTGTTTCCAACATGTAAATCATATTTCACAACAATAAATTTGTAAACCAAACTGTGTTGAACACAACACTTGCCCTCTACAATCTACCATGATGAAGAACAAAGCATGTTTGCCACATGTAATGATTCGGAAAAAGAAAAAAAAAAAGAAACAAAAGAAAGAAACAAAAGAGCACTTAAAGTAAACATAAAATTCAATGTCGGGGAAGAAGACATACCCAAAAGCAGTTTGCCTCAATATTGTCAAACTTGAAAACTTCACGCCAAATAAAATATCTTCCTGAAATATATCAGATCAACAAATACTCGTTACAATTTTGAAAACATGCCAGCAAATAAGAAACAGGACATTCTGAAGATAAATCTAGTCTACATCATAATACTTCGATGATAGGTATTCATCTCATGGTAGCTAATTACCCTCTTATATTATAAAAATTAAAGAATCAAAGTCGTTACATACGACCATCCAGCCTCATGGCCTTTAATCATGATGGATTTTCGCTTGAACGCATGCCCACCTTCAAAGAGGTGGTCGTTACATACGACCATCCAGCCTCATGGCCTTAATCATGATGGATTTTTTGCTCGAGCGCATGCCCACCTTCAAAGAGGTGGTCGTTACATACGACCATCCAGCCTCGTGGCCTTAATCATGAAAGATACCATCCTAAATAGTAATTCTTAAGTACACTTAAGAGCTGGCTTCCAGACCATCAACGTGCAATAACTTTGTTCTAACTTCCAAGGGGTGGAAATTGACATTATTTTCTTGTTGGTTTGTCAGCCACAAAAATACTTCGTTGAACATAAGTTCATGAACATCATAAATTAAACAAGTCATAAGACGACCCATTCAGCAGGATAGTTGAGTCGAGCCACGTCCAAAACAATTTAAGCATGTCTAAAATTGATAGTCGTTTTCTATGTTCTAAGAAGTCCACTCATTATAATGTAAACTCCTTAATCAAATTACCCACATTACTATGAGGTACTAACTACATAATGGCGATACTACCTTCATAAGAAACAGTAGTGTGGTGTGATGGGACAATGCAGAGAAATACAGAACAAGATAAGTGGTGGGGGGTGGGGGGGTGACTTGAGCAGTTGGTGGGAGATGTCACACATCAACTGGACCTTAAAATAAGCATTTCAAAATGGCATTCTGCAATAAAACCAAAATTGGTATCCGAAACGGAAATGTGAAATGAAATGAAACAAGGCAAAATCAATACTACTGATATTGATTGGACCAAGTGCCAGAAGTAACAGAAAGAAGCATGTCATGATAAGAAAACTTTATCTCCTTCAAAAAAAATGTACACATTAAAAGTACATCAAACAAGAATCAATTTCCTCGACTGTCAGTGTCAATGAATTGATATGAATCCTAGTTCGCGTAATAATGTTGAAGCATACACCTCTTCCATATGCAAAAGATGCCAACTTATAAGCATAGCTAAAAATATCAACTTATAAGCATATGCTATATTTCACATAGACACACACAACACAGGCCCAAATAAGAACAATAGCATGGTATTCCTTCAGTCAAATTCAAATATGTACGGTTGACGTTCAGAATAATTAAGCCATCCAATACACTAATAGCACATCTGATCAACTATTAACATAACACAAAAGCCTACGTAGAGGAGGACACTCCTGTTTTGACTCTATAAACCAGTCAGTTAAATATCAATGTTCACAGCAAATTTTATGACAGCAACAATTAATAGGACCAACTAGCAAGTGCAACTTATATGATAAGCACAAACAGCATCATGATTGTCAAGTAATGTATCTCTAAATGCTAAAAGTGAAAGCATTGGTATTTTGATAACGCACCCAAGCATCTTCAGGATAATATCATATTCATATTTCAAGGGAAAAAAATTGACATGGTCACTTTGATGCAGGCAGAAACTTAACGAAAGAACAACTAAGATAAGTATGATCTCCGCAAAGAACATAAATAACATGGAAAAAGAGAATACTCTCAAATATTCATATCAATATCCCACCACTTCAAAGATGAACAAATTACAAATAAATCCCCTATATAATTGGGGTTTGGATACTTCCTACTCAAGTAAAAGATCCTAAATTCATTATTCAAAATAAAAGATATTATCAAACCCTAAAAGAGTAATATAATGACACATTCAATCTAATCTAGAAAATATCTTACAATCTGTTATATATTTATTATTATTTATTATTATTATATATCTTCAATCATTCCCACTGGAGTCGAAACAATTCACCCTCGAATCAGAAGGGAGATTATCGTCAAAAAAAATTATCACCATGAAGGAGCACGAGGAGGACAAATAAGAAAACATCTTTGATTGTTGGCTTGTCAGTCATATAAATGGTCTTGGCTGTCTTCTTGCCTAACTTGTCTACGAATATCAATTGTTGCAAGTCAAGCAATGATATTACTAAGAAATTGGCTCCACATAGGCTTTGTAACCTAATCCTCGCAATTATCTTTAGGAAACTGAGAGAAACTAATCTTTGCTGGTCTAATTTCTCAACCATAATTCTCAACAAAATAATTGGTGAATGAATTTATCCGGCATGACCGACTAGCAAACCCAAAGTAAAAATGGAATCGTGACTTGCTTCCTCAAAAATTGCCTCATCGAATATTAGTTGTCCATCATATCATCCATCTTTCTCATATTCAAGAGGTTTTTCATTTTAAACAAAGGGAGGTTAAAAACGTTATCTAACACCGTTGATTTCCTCATCAAAAGAATCAGGGTACAACATGGAGTCCACACCATTGATTTCAAATATTCATATCAACATTCCACAACCTTCAAAGATGAATAAACAAAACCCATAGTTTAAAATGGCGACGCCTCGAGGCAAGGCGACCGAGGCGAGGGCCACTTTGCCTCGTCACTGCCTGAGGCGACCCTGTTCGCGAGGCGCTCGCTTCAGGTCGCCTCGGCTCGCCTTTTTGCATGGCGAGAGGCGCCTGTGAGGCGCGCCTCGGCTCCTTTCAGAGGAATTAGCGGCAGTCCATTTAAGAAAAGAAAAGAAAAGCAACACTTTTTTAAAGAGAATAAAAATAAACCAGATCAAAAGCTAAAAAAAACTTCAGTGAAAAATCTCTAAATGGCCTCCCCAAACTAGGGTTTCTACGAAAGAACTCCCTAGGCTTCTCGAATTTGAAAATTGCAGAAACCCATGGCCGACCCATCCTATTTCCGGCCTCCTCTGACTCTGGCCACCATCTCGCACCGCCAAGACGTCGGTGATGCATGCCTTTTCTTTTTTTTTTCCTTCTTCCTTTCTCTTTTTCCCGTTACCGTTTTTGCCGTCTCTTTTTCTTCTCTCTTCATTTTTACTTTATTTATGTTTACTAGTATGGTCAATAGTCAAAGGTGAAAGGGTGCAACATCTTTTCTTTCATTTACTTTTATTTTACACTTTTTATTTGCCTTCTTTAACTTTTTTCTATTTTATGTTTACTACAATGTAAATTCAATATTTATGCTTTGTAATGTTACTAGTATTCACATTTAAGTTTTAGATGCCTTTAGTTATTATAACTAAATTTAATTTAAATTATCTTTTTTAGGATATTTAAGGTTTAAATGTATGATATATATATATAT